TTAAAAGGAAACCCAAAATGAAATAAGATTTTCACTGAATAATGAATGTATTTGTTAAAAATTCGTATATCTTTAGGAACAGCTTGCTTCAAAGGATTTGTAGCGCTCTTGGTTATTTAACCTATGGTTGAGGGTATTATCATCCCCTACCCTTCTTGCACATATAAGACGCTCGATTTATATTGGTCTTACGCATCGAGTTATAAGCTTCCAGCTCTGTCCTCCCTCTGATGCGATGTAGCACGCAATTTATAGCCCTTTCCCTTAAATCTTCTCAAAAAGATATTAAGTTCAATCCATTCATGACTTCACAGTTCTCCAATGCGACACAAGAATGGCTATTATTCTTACAGAAACCAGGGACACACAGGGTGTTCAAGAAACTAATTACACAGCTCCACCAAAACTCTTTAGACGTACTAATTCGTAGGCATATTTATGTACGACTGGCTACGTTAGCATGTGCTTTAAAAATTACTGTAACATAAAGCACAGTATATACGACATGTGTGACATCCTGAATTTTAATGGTTTACCTCAGTCCCTCCACACAAATACTGGCACAGTATCTGAAATTAGACCACTGCCGCTTCCTTCCGCATCCCTTCCAATTCATTATTCACTATTATCCTCTAACTCGACGCTTTATTGTCTGAGCTACTGAAAAATTAAAGTTAAACTAGAAATAAATGATAAAGATTCCTCACAGCCGAAATTCTGACTGCATGTCTTGTTTCCATTACGTCACCCATGTTATACGGCAAGTATAACTTATGAAGTTATTCGTTTCCATGTTCTGCCCTTACTTTCCACAGTTTTCCTCTGTTCGTCAAATGTCATTTCCCACTTCCAGCTCCCGATAATTTTCTCTTTAACATGTTTTTCTCGTTTACTCCATCCCATAATCCTCCAGGTCTCTCACCCACTCTCAAAATTCGAATTTTCTCGCTGTTTCTTCCTGAAATGTAAACGACTCTGTTCCCTTCTTTGCTTTTCTATCATTCCTCCTTTCAGGAACATTCTGGAACATTTACGTTCCCACTTTACCTGATATTTCCTGCGATTTATGACGCCGCTTTGAATTCAAGTCAAAGACTTTTCCCCCTAAAAAAAGAAATAAACCGCTCCCAAGACAAAGAAGTCTGAGGCGTCTGTGCCAGTGAGAACGTTACGTTGGTACCACTGTTCTAGCAGCACACAGGACTGACAACCAATCACACAAGTCTCCTTTCATTTGTGGGGCTGCGTCTTACAGACGCACTGTCACAGCAAAGCCGTTCCCCCGCTGGGCCCTTTGTCGCACGAAAACCAAGCTTTCACACACACGCGTTCACAACTGAAAATGCGTCTGTTCTTTTAACCCAAAATATTAAAATCGAAACAGTTAGAACATTTTTATGCCAAGAAAGAATAACAAAACTTATCCTACTCTCTCATGACAAATTTCGGCACGCTTGGAAGATTGCTATAAGTGTGAACGACTCGTCGACCTGACAATGGGTGCAGCACCTTCGAAACGTCGATAAACTTGTACCAGTTCAACGTACAAAACAGACGCCATGAGAACCTGGAACGTTTTCCTCAGAGCCACAAGGATATGTGAACATGTAGGTAGATACCAACGTTTCGGATGAAATTACTGCCTCCATCATCAGGATTGAAGTGAATCAGAATATAAACATCAACGTTTTAAGAATGATTTACGTTTCAGAACGGGCCAAAGATAGAAATTAGTGACCACAGATACAATAAATATGAAACATAAGGAACTAGAAAGACAGTAAAAAAATGTGTAAATAAAAACACGTAAAATTTCAGGATGCTGTAGAGGAAGAAATCTGCAAGGCCAGAAGCGCTGAAAGTCTGCAACTTCCAATAAACGCTCCGCAGAGAATTTCACAAGTCGCCCATCCAGTATGCTTCAGCGTAAACCAATCCGAGGCTACTCAATTCCCGAGCTCATACATAAACTTCACACGTGTCTAATGAAACAGAAATATAATTTGGCCTGTTGTTTTGTATGGGTGTGAAACTTGGTCTCTAACGTTAAGGGAAGGACACAGGTCGAGGGCGTTTGGACCTAAGAGGGGCGAAGTGACAAAAAGGCCCTTTATGGAAACATAAGGTCCGTTATTGCGACCACGAAACGTCGCCAGTGGACCCTGCTCTGAATAATCTGTTGGTAGGAAAGAAGCCACTATTCATTACAATGTAAATATTACAGAGAACAGTTACACGTGTCACAAAGAGACGACGCAAATGTTTAAATGTACACGCGTATAAATCAAGCTGTATCCATGCACTTTGCAACCTGATATCCCACATTACATAATTTAATTATTTATTAACTAGCTTAGCATACGACTAATCAAAGATGACGGCAATTGACCTTTTCGGGGGGGGGGGGGGGACT